TAGGGACTTCCCAGGGACAAACAGGACATGATCAAGTAACACTGTATAAGATAATCTGCTCATTTGTCATGCAAATTCTCAGTAACACGACCAGTAAGGACAACCTTGAATGTGCAAAAATAATCTCAAGATACAAAGGACAGCCCACTTTTTCTGTGATGGTGACCAAAGTGGTGATGATCTAGGGTACGCGCATGTGTGTGCGTGTTCTCGTGTGCACATAGGGACAGTGGGGTGAAGAGTGGGAAGAGAGAAGGTTAAAGCTAATTGCATATGACAGAGCTTCAGATTTACCTTTTTTTAGCAACACTCATTAAAGTCATCTCCCACAGGCTGACACCCTAAATATGTGTTCAGTCAAAAGCAGAATCTGATCACAGGGTTTCTCCAAATTGAAACAGGACAAAAATCACAATTCAATGCACCTTGGGATAATTTTGCTGTGAGGATGGAAACATCCTGGGACTGGATGTAATGGTCAACTGACCTCCCAGAGCACTCTTATCCCTTTGGGTCAATCTGTACATTTAGATTCAACCCACTGACAGTCTGAAAGATCTTCCAGATCCTTCCTGTCTACCTTATCCCCTGGTTCTCGATTCCACCAAGTCTTTTCTGTCATCTACTGCCTGGGGTGTCATTCTTAAAATTTATGAGACTAATTGATATTACTTGAGTTGAGAGAATACAGCTTGCTAATTTGTCATACACATGTGTTGATAAACTTATTCTATTTATTGCTTCTAGCACATCCTGCAAGCTATTAATGGGCAGTACATTAATTATTTTAGGACACCAAGTCATTGGTAGATTTGGCTCCCATTAAAAACTATTTAGACATAGACTTTTATTTTGTTTTTCAATTGCAGTGGGGATTTGTCCTGTGCTAATGCAGTTATAATCTTTTATTAGCCTCCTTGGAAATTAAGGGTATAATAGGTCAGAGGTAAAAATACAGTGTGTGCGTCAATGGAGCAGTTTTTTCCTTTTTAAGCAAGACAACTGTGAAGTTTACAGGAGATATGATTCTCAGAATTATGTAATTATCAACAGGTTCTCTAAAAAAACACAGTTAAACATCCACAGAATAACTTACAAAGAAAACTTTCAAAACTAGGAAAATACTTTGGATCACTCAGCTCTAAGTATTGCAGTCATATACACCTAGCTGGGGTTTACATTGTGACCCTTGATGCTATGTTTAATCAGTTATCCTAAACGTAATGCAATGGGTTTAGTGCAACAAAATTAACAACGCCAAAAATGGATACCAGTTCACTGTTCTTTAATGACTTTTTGGTTTTCAGTGACGTTTAATATAGTAAAAAGAAAATTAAAATAAAACTTTAAACTTCCAAGATTATTTTGAGGAAAAAGCTTGAATACCAAAAATCTTTTTAAATTCAAAAAGGGAGAATATAAAAACTTAAGAAAATTGATTTTAAAAACTACACAGGGAATTCCCTGGTGGTCCAGTGGTTAGGACTCCACGCTTTCACTGACACGGCCCCAGGTTCAATCCCTGGTTGGGGAACTAAGATCCCACAAGCCTCATGGCATGGCAAAAAAAAAAAATTATTAAAAAATAAAAACTACACAAATATAGATATCTACAGGGAAAAATGTCATTTTTAAAAAGTGGTTTTTAATGACATCAGAATCATTGGTGGAGGGTAGACAGGCAGATATAAATCAAAAGATAATCTCCCTTACCCAAATGCCACATATACACCAATCTCAGCTACTGTGCAGTAAGTCTGCTAAGCAGTATTCCCAGATAAATGACAGAAAGTCCCTAGATCTATAGCAGAAACTTTTATACTTAAGTAGTACACACAGTACCAGGCTGATCAAACACAATAGGAAGAGGACTACAGTAACTCAAGACAATATAATCTATATATTAAAACAAATAGTCTCAATTACTTAAAAACATCTGAATTTCATGCTCAGAATTTTCCAGGCTAGCAGTAGAAGAATGAAGGGCTGAGTAGCTATTTCAAGGAAGAAAGGTTACAATGATATATTTCTAAATCATGTAATTAGTTTTAGGCTACAGTGAAGTGATTTTGCCTGAATTACCGATAAAATAATGTTATTTTCTCATGAACTTAGTTACTAGAAAACAATATTAAGAAATAATACTTTGTGTGTAGCATGAATGGTTTTACACCTGGCAAACACAGGCAAATAAAGGGTGACAGGGATACAGACATATGCTAGCAAAGTTCCTATCTAGGTCTTTGAAGTCTCTGTTTATAATTGCACTGCTTTTTTTAAATTAATCATTTTCCAGACTCCTCATGTAAAATGTTCAAAACACACTTTATAATCTTACGCTAACTCTTATGTCTACGTCCTTCTTACAGTTAATCAATATTTTATACCTAAATAAAAATAAAATCTTCTCTTCCCCATAAATGCTTCCACACACACACAAAAAATAAAACTACTTCAGGTTAAGAAAGGTCATGGTTTACAAAGTCAAAGCAATGAAATGTGAAGTTTTATCAGTGGTTCTCAGACTTTAGCATGCATCCTAATCATCACCTGAGGTGAAAAACACAGAATGTGGATCCCAAACTCTGAATTTCTGATTTAGAAATCCTGGGAGGGGTCAGAGAATTTGCATTCCTAACAAGTTCCCAGGTGATGCTCATACTGAAGGTTACGGATTCCCACTTTAAGAATCTAACTTCTGTGATTTGTAAGACATATTTGAAAAGTAATATATAAATATATTTTTTCACCCACCTGAGAGCTATGACATTTATAACGACTAGAGATGCTGACTAATTTTCAAACAAAGCCAATTCTACTCCTAGCTAAGTGACTAATAACCACATCAATAGTAAAAGAAAAAAAAAAAAGACCACCACCTTCACAACCATCAGCTCAGTAGCAGAAATGCTTTCCCCTTATTGTTAAGCAGCAAGGCCCAGGACTGTTTTGATGCAATTGTTCTCTACTTGTCTCCACTCCTAAATCTTACACTTTCCCACCGCCCAGCATTAGACTTGCCAGGACAAACTGAATGACAAACAGTGACAGGAAAATGGAACCCTTTCTAATCCAGACAGTTCCAGAACATCCCCTACCCCCCCCACCCCGAATTTTCTCACTTCTCATTATCTCCTACACACACACATTTAAAAAACAAAACAAAAACAAAAATTCTTTTTATTTGAGCTAATCTGAACCAATGGGAGAGAAATAAAGACTTGGACAAGCAGAGTTCAGACTCACACGAGAAGGTTCCATCTTATCTGCAGCATTCCTCCATCCCTAGAATCCCAGCCACTCTCAGCTGCGGGACACCAGAGTCCAGCAGAAGTCAAAAGAGCACTAAATGAATTCCTGCTCTGCCCAAGGCCTCACCTCCTGCCATCAGCCAAGCGGTTTAAGCCAAGAGGTTCAAGACCTCAGCATCTCTCCTACACACACCAGCAGTAGCGGTACCAGCACCAGCACCAGCACCAAGAAAGCTCTCTTTCATTTGGGAAAGAGGGAGTGAGGAGAGAGGGGAAATTAAGATGCTTAGAGGTGGGAGAAAGTGAAGATCTCTTGGCCAGAGCCAAGGAGGGAAGTAGGAAGACAGGCAAGGGGAGTGGCCGATGAGGCGAAGCAGAGCCCAGTGCTCGCCGCTCCTGACCCTCTCCCCACCATCCCCCAGCACCGCTCAGCCCTGGACAAGACACCGCGGAGAGAGTAAAGGCGGACCTCCCGCCTCCGTTCCCAAACACCTGCCCACTGCGCACTCCACGTTCCCAGACTTTGAGGACTCAAGGTCCCCTTGCATCCACGCCCACTCCCAAGTCACTTCTAGGGTCTGCGCTTCCACGAACACTCATGCCCTTTGCCCGGGGCAGCCGGTGCCTAGCACTGCAGCGCTGGGGTCCCAACCCCGAGGGAGACCAAAGGCGGGCTGCCAAATTTCCAGCACACAGTTTCTCTGGATGTCGGCCCTAGCCTGGGAGCTGTGGGTGAGTCTCGGCCTGCTGTCCCCTAAGGGCTGTTCTCCTAACCTTCCTACCATACCTCGAGAACACAAAAGTTATTTTTCCTTTGTAGCACCGCCTGCTTATCCCAGGAGAAGACTCACATTTGAGCCAGAGGGTGTGAGTGTGTGTGTGTATCTTTCAGTCCCGAAAACCAATGGTGCCAACTGCTGACAGGCGAAGGAACCTGGATTGGCTCTTGAGGACTTAAAAACATCCGAATTAACACGTTCACCCTTCTCTCCGTCCTAACCCTCCCAGCCCTGCGTTTTCCGGAGAACTGAGATTATGTTCCTGTTGCAGTGAGCTGGTGTCCTGCCCCGGAGCCGAGACGCGCAGACTTGGCCGTCCGTTCATTCATGCATTTGCTCATCCATTCACATAAACATGTCCCTTAATTGTGTCTGGCACCGAGAATCTTGCCTGCTATTTTCTCCTCCCCAAGTCATTGCTTATGGCAACGGTTGGTGCAGAACGCAACTCGACTGTCAACCCACTTCCTGAGCTGGAAAATCAAGTCAAGTAGGCATTCAACTCTTCCCACGCCCCCCCCCCCAAAAAAAGGGAAAAGGTAAAGAGAAGGCTGAGAGACGGGGCGGACAGGAGTGGGGAGCCCCTGGGGTCACATTCGAAGCTTCCCTTTGGAGTAAACCGCGGCACCGACACCAAGGCATGCAAGGAGCCAAATCATTATTAAATCAAAGACTGCTAGAGCTCGGGTCCCCAGAGAGGATAAATCAAGTGCAAAGCCACTTATTCGCACGAGTGCTGGGCTGCCGGCTCGACCCAACTCCGAGCCCGAGCCGAGGCGCTGGGAGAGCGGCTCGCAGCCCGATTCGCAGCGCGCTCGCCGCCTCCTTATTGCTCCCAATAACGTGATGAAGTGGAAATCAAAAGCCACGCTGGGAGGGGCCCCGGAACGGCGCGAGTCGTGCATTTTCGCTCACCAGCCTATCTTCCCTAAGAATCGCAAGGTCACAATAGCGTCGCGATTCCACTCACCGTACACTCCTTGGCCAGAGATCCCCTCCAGGAGGACTGTCAGCAGCCACACGAGACGGTACACTAAATCCATCTTCACGTGAACATGAACATATCCAGCCCAGGGGGGACGCAGCGGGACCTTCTGGAGGCCGGCGGCCAGCCGGGCGCGCTCCGCTAGCTCCCCAGCCGAGCCGAGGTGCCCGGGAACTGCTCGCGGAAGGGGGAAGCGCAGTCCGTCTGTCTTTCCCTGGCGGCGGCCGTGAGCCGAGCGCAGGAGCCCCGCACACCCCACACTCATGCACACACACACACACACACACACACACACACACACTCCGACAACACAATACCCTGACACAGACTCACACGCACCCCTCACTCACACTGGGCGCCTGGGAAAATCGCAGACGCCGGGGAGGAGCAGGGGGCGTGATGGGAAGCGGAGCCGTTAGGCGAAGTGTTCTTCAGGGGAGCGGACTGGAGTCTTCGCAGCTGCTGCGGCGGCGGCGGCGGCGGCGGCGCGCTGGGCCGGCGGCGGGTGCTGGCGAGGGGCCGGGTGTGCCGAGCGGTGCGAGCCTGACGCGGGCAGCCAGGGAGCAGGAAGTGGCCTCTGACTCGGGGCACCGAGCAGGGGCTTCCTCGCTTGGGTTCGCCTTTACAAAGTAACTCGCGAAGGTCCCCGGCGGAGCGTCAAGCGGCGGCAGCGGCCCGCCCGCCCGCAGCCCGGAGCCCCCAGCCCGGCTGTCTTGCCTTCCCCCATTCCATCAGTTGCCATTGCAACGCCAATCCTGTTACACGATACAGGCTCGCATCGCCGAGCGGGGAGAGGAGGAAGAGGAGGAGGAGGAAGAGGAGGAGTGCGGCGAAGGGGACGGGGGTGGGGAGGAAGGGAAGGGAGGAGGGGGAAGAAGGAGGAGAGGGACGGACAGGGCGCAGAGTGTGAGTCTGGAGCTTTCTCGGGCACCAGCCTCAGCCGCCGCCGCCGCCGCAGCGGCCACCTCCACCGTTCTCCAAAATAGCCTTCAGCGCCACGCCAGCGAAGAGGGGGCTCAAGCCGGCCGCACCGATTCCGGGAGCCGAAAGCAGAGTCCAGGCACCGTCACTTGCAGAAGACGGAGAATGCCAAGCAGAGAGCGGATCGCACACACGTCTACGCGTGCCCACCGGCACCGCGCGCGTCCTCTTTGCTTCCGCGCTGCCCCCGCCAGGTGGAGGGGTGGGGGCGGCCGGGACAGGCGGGAGTTTAGAGGAGGGCGCCGCAGAAGGGGTTCCCCGCCTGGGCTAACGTAGTGCTGGCATCCGGAGATGAACGCGGGAGCGGCCGCCTGAGAAGGACACCGGCTGCGTGGCCGCCGTTCGGGCCCCAGCTGCGGCGGAGGTGCCCGGGCCGGGCGGCGAAGCGCCGAGGGCTAGACGCCGGCCGGAATCCCTGGGTGTGCGCGGGGGTGCGCGCAGCGGAGGCGGAAAGGAGGAGGAGGGCGAAGCCGAGAGTGGAGCTGCGGGGCTGCCGAGCTGCCGGGCTGCCGGAGAGGAAGGCTGTGTGTGGTCACGTTGTGCGCTACGTGCTGAGAGCGCGAGCTTCTAGCCGCAGCCGGGCGACGTCAAAGCCGGGTGCGCGGCTCAGTCGCCTGCCTCCGCGCCTCCTCCTCACTCTGCCTTCCTGTGTCAGACGTGGAACCCATCAGTATGGATAGTGCAGAGAGGCTCCGCAAGGCCGACGGCATCAGGCCTCCAGCCTTCAGCCTTCCCCGCGAGCCCCCCGTCCCTCCAACCTCCCGGAGCTGCGCGTCCTCGGACACCGGTTATCTTTTCCGATGCCGCTGTTGGCGTTTGCACGCGGAAGGGCCAGCTACCACCTTAGATCCCGGGTAATTACAGGACACACCATCCCCTCCCCGCCGCCCAGGGTCTCCCAGGATCCGTTCCGCTTGACTAGAGGGCAGAACCGGCCACAGCACTTGGAAACAGCATCGTTTCTTCCCCATTTCTGTCCTTTTAAATGGAAATATGGTCATCACAGCAGTGAAGGCTCTAGGGGCAAAACACTAAGAGTTCAGAGCTTAGTATATTTAATATGCAATGTCTCCTACTAAAGTTAACCGCTTTGAAAATCTTTTCTCTTTTGTGACAGAGGATCTCGAGGAGCTTAAGAAATTCATAGTTACAAAAGGATTAGAAAATGCAAAGCATCTATAATTTAAATTGGAACTAGTGTAGAAATATAGATTTATAGGGGAAAACTGGTAATATAAGTAGCAGTTTCTGATTTGTCTCTGTAGCCACAAAAATTAGTGCTTCCTGCCCGCAATCCACTTTGTCGAATATGTTCTTCACTCTTCAAACAACATATGGATAGGGAAGTGATTAAAATAGCTAAACGTGCATTTATACATGTGTTAAAAAAAGTAATTGCTATGGAAAATCTGGAACATAGTATTCATTTATCTGCTCCCATAATAGACTGGTATAACACACTGCAGCTCCCTTTCCCTCTGCTACGGCTAGGAGGGGCAGGAGGGGGTGGTGTTACCTCCGAGCACTAGGAAATGAATAGTCCCCATTGTTTCCACCAAGGTCCTTTTCCTCACTTAAGTGAATTATGCATATTATTTTTACAGGGTGTGATCTATTGCTTACGCTCTGGGTTTACAAGGTAAGAGGACCAATGTTGAGAAGGTTGCCTCAGGGCAAAGGATGCCTCGGCGTTGAGGACCGCTTCTTTATGAAATGCCACTTTCACATAGTAGATGGAATTAAGTATCACTGTAGAAGCAAAACTCAATGTGTGGCATTTCTGAAGGAGAATGAGTGAAGTTCACTCACTGGTCAGCTGTGAGGGGAATTGTGTTATGTTTCAGGAAATTAGTCTTTTAAAAGGAGATAATTCCTGCATACAGCAACACGGCAGCTTCAAGGAGCAGTAAAGTGCAACTCCTCTCTCAGATGGGAGCTCAGAATGTGTCTTGTCCATGAGACACTTGCAGATTTTGGCCACTCATGTTCTGAGATACCACTTCACCTGTATATTTGTACTGTCCTTTTTTTGACTTTTATTTATGGAAGCATAGGCTCTTTGAGTGATTTCAGGACTCTACACTGAAATATTTTATTATCCTAAAAAATCAGTGTATCACTCTAACAAAGTAACCCAGACTAAGTCAGTATCTCTAAGAGGGATTACTGTGCTTAACCTGCCACATTAGGACTTAAGCTTCAGGAGCTCAGGGCCTTTCTTTTCCATGTAATGCACACCTCTGCCTAGGTAAGGACCAAACACCCATGGAGCCCTCAGCATTCCTGAATAAAATATTTGGAGCTTGTAGAGAACTTAGAGAACCCAGTCATTTTACAATTTACTTCAGTTGAGGAAACCACCAGGTATATCTACTCTGGGCCAGGTCTTGTCCTGGATATTGAACATTCAAAGATATACAGGACAAAATCCCTTCCTTTAAGAAAGACACAATCTAGTGGACAGGGTGTGTTGGTCAACACATGCACCACTACTTCTATTGACACTATAAGTGCTATATAAGGAAAGTCCCATGGTGGCAGATTTTACGTGGAACCATTAATTAGGTTATATGACAGTAAGAATAAAAATTGCACTGGATCTCATATGTTTTTTCCTTCCAATGAAAATGATAGATTACTTCTACAAACAATTGGCCAATTCAATCAACCAAGGTTTTTTGTTTTGTTTGTTTGTTTTCTTAAAATTCAACATTTTTTAGGCTGCCCTGACCAAATAGGCATGATGTATCCAGCCACACCTTAGCACTAACAATTGAAGGCCTCCAGGTGGTGAGCCTGAGCTGAGTCTTAAGGACAGGCAGGGAGGTGGTTTATCAGAGAGAAGGGGAGATGCTCCAGAAGGCAGGTCCAAAGGCTGTAATAAGATCAGGACCAGGATAATCTGTGTGGCCCAATTAGTGCACTTTCTTATGGGGGAAGGGTAAGTAACTTTAAGGATTGCCAGCTTCTTGGATTTTGCATAGTGAATATGGAAATTGTACAGAACTCAAAGGAATCCTCCATTGCATTACTGCCAGGGCCCACTCAAGAGTATTACTCTGTTGCTAACAGAAGCATCAATGCACACTTTATCATTTGTGATGACAAGGCCAGGAAAATTTAGGGGCTCTCCTCTGACAGCCTTAATTACCTTAATAACCCCTTACAGTTTTATTGACTGTAGTTTCATTTTAAATTTCTATCTCTGTCCTGCAGTATAAGCAGGATGTTCCAACCTAGGTAGCATGAGAGAGGCAATGTCATGGAGAGCGTCACAGCTTGGCACAAAATCCACCCAAGGTAGTGGGACAGAAGTAAGAAAAACTAGTAACTCTGGAGATACAGCTGAGTAGGCAAAATCAGACTATCAGTGGCAAATGCATCCTTTCTTTCAGAGCTAGCCTCCTCACCCAGAGCAAATACCACGTCTTCTATACTATTTACTACGGCTACTCCCTTATGGCCCTTTAAATCACACTGACTCCCATATATACTCTTCCCTTTCTGGTTTATACAACCAAACAAGAATGTAAAAATCATCAGTGGTTTATAGTAATCTCTGGGGAATTGTGCACCCTGACCTGTTGTTGTTCCATACTTCCTTGTGCTTGCTCTGTTCTTCATGGTCACAGGTTCCTGGCTCATATCACAGCTTACTAGGAATATAACCCACCCTGAATCATACCGCAGTTGGCTACAGGTGTGTATCCCTGGCATACCCCTTTAATCTTGAGACTAAATATACTTCTGATATTTCAAAATCAGTTAAGGCAAGCTCATTGTTCTATGACCCAGACATGTACCTGAGACCACGAACCATCACCCTCTCGACCTCTGACCAGATCTCTTTAAAGCTAACCTAGATTACAATAAAGTTTGACTAACCTAAATTGGAACCACTTCTGTAGGGCACAGAATCTTCTATCCTGGTAAATTTTCTCTAACCAAATGCCTGTTCACCTGGTTTTATTTCCTCCCATTTAGTAATAGCTTCCAGCATGCAAGCTTGGAAGTCTAAGCAGCATCACATAGAATTGGCTGTTTCAGATGACAGATATGATTTCCTATCAGAGACACAGAGTATAGCATTGGAGGTTCCAGGTACTGGTAATTTCCAGGAGGTAGGGTGGGAGCAATTGTTTGTAAGAAGCAGAACCCAGACACTGGTGTTAAATATGAGACAAGGATTTCATTTTGGGAAACAGTACTGTCGCTTGACAGGGCTTTGGTGAGAACAAAAAGGGCAATGAGAATGGTAACTGCTAATATTAGAAATAAGGACGGACATCAAATCCCCTTTGTAAGGACTGAGAGAAGTCAAGGAGAGATGTATAGCTTGAGGAAGCAACAAAGTACCCAAAGAATAATCCCTGGAAGTAGCAAATACAGGGTCCAAATAACAAAGAAGATGTCCAGGAGAGGCTGAATATATGGATACTGTTTTGAGAGGATGCCAAGGTAATTTGTTACCAGATGATGGGGCTAAGGTCTCAGATATATTGTGGCTGCCAATGAAGAGTATCTGACAAACAGAGGAAAGTAGAGGCAGAAAATATGAGCCAAGGGCCTTGATATTCTTGATACTCTATCATCAGCTAAAACTAGCAAATTTCTGAGAGTTTTTACTCATTTGGTAAAGAGCATTCCCTCTCACAGGCCCTCCTTTCAAGACAGACATGCTAGTTTCTAGTTCCAGACTTCTGGGATTTTGTGAACCATTCATGTTTTCTATACAGTTTGTATGTTGAACCCATAGTTATTTTTAAAAGTCTACCCTCATATACCCTCATATCACCTTTTGGTGATTTTAGTAGCCCTGCCCTAGATTTATTCTTATTCTGACATGTCTCCTTTCCACTATTATTAAAATTCTGATACTATTTTGGGAACAAACCTAATGCTGATTTGTTCCAGAGCAGATGTTCAGTGCAGGGCTGTGTAACGTGGTAGGTAAATGTCTGAGCTTTAACATCAGATTGCCTTGAGCTTGAATTTCTGACGTCAGTGTGACCTTGACATTTCCTGTATCCCATAAAATGAAAAGAGCAAGAGGTTACTAAGAGTTTTATATAAAGTAATACATGAACGTTACATAGCTCAGCACTTGACTTAAGCAATACATTGTTACCATTGTTATTATTACTGTTAGTATTTTTCTTAGTATTTGTTGGTTGTTGGAGAACATTAATATATGGGCCTAATAACTGGAATGAGCTCCATCTGAGGTTAGCTGACAGCTTGGAACCTTTAGTTTTATAAGGATGATGAAGTGTTTTTCTCTAAAAGCATTACTTCACTTGCTTTTATTCAAAGTTCACCTGTCCCATTTCTGTCCAGTCACATTGAACTCTGAAGTCCTTCCACAGTTTATCTGTAATGGTTTGGCATTTCAGTACTTAGGTATAGCTGAAAAGTTGAAATTTTGAGAGTACAATTCTGCTTCAAGATTATTTTTGAAACTGCTGCATCCCTGGATGAATCCTTGGAGAACTCAACAGCTTAAATATTAATGCAGAGAAGTTTCTACTTATCACTATGCTGGTTTACTGTCTTTCAAAAACAGATTAGTGTGCAGCAATGCTTACACATCTAGGTCACCAGTAGACCAGATTAAAGATCAACATCAGCGTTGGATTAGAAAATTTGTGGTGGAAATATAAGGAAACCCACTGTTTCTGACAAAGAAGTGATTTGATTAAGCCACAGATAAGATATCAAGGACTACAAGAGAGTTGAACAAAAATTTCCCCCAAGATTCTATGTTTGGAGCAATTTACAGATATGCATTTAATAGGAAATAAAGGAAAGGAAATCTGAGTCACAATCAGGTGGTAGATTCAAAATGTGTCATCACAACACTAAAATATATAACCTAATATACAATACAATACAATATAATATAACATAATATAATATAGTACAATATCAACATTCTCTGTAATTAAACTCAATCTGCAAACAAGCTAATCATATCAGCTAGCTATTGGAAAAATTCAAGGAAGCAGAGTCTCTTCTCAGTTTAAAACTTTGTCTCCCATGTAATTGCTTCGTTTTCTAGGGTTTCTCTCATTTGCTCTTCTCCTTGTCCTTATCTGACTAGTGGTTGTTTCATGTTTTGTCCTGATAATAGGGAGAGGTGTCTTCTTTCATTCAGCTTTGCTGTCCTCCACTTGATTACTGGGTGTCTGCCATTTACCCTGCTGCACTCAGTGCTCTCATCTTCCCCATTGGCTTTGAATCATAAGGACTCAGCTCCCACCTCATTCCAAGCTCAGGTTTCTCCCAGACCTCTAGCCATGGAAGCACCTTCCCATGCTCCTCTGGAGCCACTGGGAGAGTCTGGATCTCCTACACATGACTCACATTAGGAAACCAAATGGCACTATTCTTCATTCTCCGTTTATCTGAATATACCGTGTTGACATTTCTACTCATTTGTAGAAATTCTGATTTTCATTCTATGAGGCATTTTCATCCAAGAATCAAGGAAAGATTCAAAAAACAAGCTTTCTATACCATGGAATTCTTAAAGTATAAGAAGGTCACTAATCCCTGTGCAACCAGAAGAGGACAGGGAAGTCCTCAGGGACATGCATATCCCTATTCTCCAACTCTACCTCTCTTTTTCCTTCCTCTCTCTCAATCTCTCTCTGGGGTCCTCCACTCTCCCCCACTACAAGCTTCACACCAGGGCAGAGGGGGTACTCACCTTCCTTCTAAAGGGAAAAATGGACCTCATTTCAACCTTGCATTCTCCCTACTCTCTGGTTTGTAGAAAAACTGCTGTGGTCTGAATCCTCCAAGCTAGAGCCTAACAATTTAGATCCTGGGTCTAGGAGTTCCCAAAAATCCTTTTTTCTCTCAAATGTCTGACACTTCTTTTTTCCCTGGCTTCTGCCCTTTCCCTGAAGAGATGCCCAACTTCAATAAATATATTGCCCTAGAGCAGCAAAAATTACAGGGAGTCAGAAACAAATTGAATATAGGATAATATTTCAAAACATTAGTTATAGCTGCATGGCCTGGTCCCCTATAAATAAGTTACTAAGGGGGTAGGACCAGGTCTTGCCTACTTGGGGTGACCCAGGAAGGCAAAATATCACCTGGAAGTTCAAAGTTCAGGGGCAGGCAGATCCAAAGGATTGCAGGGCTGGGTGGGCCAGAGAGTTTCCAAAGGGAAGTTCCTTGAAGAAGGGAGAAAAAACCTGTAGGTAGGAAATTGTTTATTAGGAGGTTGGAGAGACAAATATCCTGGCGTGCCACCAAACTGGCAAAGAAAATAAGAACAGCCAAGAAAAAAATGTGGCTGAGTCCTCTGATGAGGGTTAATAAGAGAGAAATAAAATAGACGACGGAAGAGAAGAGGCACAGGGAGCTGTACTAGGTTGGTAGTGTCCCTCTAAAGCATGTCCTCAGAATCTCAGAACATGACTTAATTTGTAAATAGGTTGTAGCAGATGTTATTAGTTAAGGTGAGGTCATAGTGGAGTAGGGTGGGCTCTTAATCCAATAAAACTGATGTCCTTAGAAAAGAGAAGGCACAGAAGTTGACATGAACAGGGGAGAATACCAGGTGACAACAGAGGCAGAGGCTGGAGTGATGCATGTACAAGTTAAGGAATGCCAAAGGGCTAAGGGAAAGGCAAGGAACAAATTTTCCCCTAGTATCACAGAGAGCATGGCCCTGCTGACACCTTGCTATTACACTTCTAGCCACCAAAAGTATAAGAGAATAAATTTCTCTTGTTATAAACCATCCAGTTTGTGGTACTTTGTCACAGCAGCCCTAGAAAACTAATAGTGAAGCCACACTTGTCTCTTGGGCAACAGTCTACACAAAGGCTATTTGGCTGAAACCTTTGGAGCTTCTATCTTAAATCCTTGCCTGTAGGAAGTTTTCTTCTAAATCACTGTGGAATCACACTTTCCTAGCTTGGAAAAATCCAATAACCTCAGTAACACATGACTTTCAATATCTGTAAACTATACTACTCACTCAGGAAAATGCTGTGAAAGTTAAATGGAATGATGTTTATTAAAACATAGGTGATCATGCCCTTTCTCAGGGAACCAGAGAGGACCAGGGAAACTAGGCTTGAAGGACTCCTATTCCCAAGTTAACTTTGCTGCAGCACTCCCCAGAAAGAGGTGGGGAGCCTGGGATGCCCAAGAGACTAATCAAAGTACAAGTCTCTGTCCTCAGTGTTCCCCTGCAACTCTCTGATGAGTACCCTCTATTTAGCAAAAGCCTGTAAAGAGGAAATCTCTCCCTTCTCTTTCCTCTCTTTTTCTTACTTTCCTGTGACCAGAAGAGGGGAATCTGCCTCTTCTTCCTGTCTACTTCCCTTAAATAAAACTCACTTAGAGCAGCAGTTTTCAAACTTTCTTTTCTTGCCATCTTTTTAAACCTCAACCCACAACAATTTATTTAACATCATGACTCAGTGTACAGGTATACATAAACACACACAAAATGCATTTTTTTTCTCATAAAGTGATTACCTTTACCGCACTTATTTTTCTTTTTTTTGCGGTACGTGGGCCTCTCACTGTTGTGGCCTCTCCCGTTGCAGAGCACAGGCTCTGGACGCGCAGGCTCAGCGGCCATGGCTCACAGGCCCAGCCGCTCTGCGGCATGTGGGATCTTCCCGGACCGGGGCACGAACCCGTGTCTCCTGCATCGGCAGGCGGACTCTCAACCACTGCGCCACCAGGGAAGCCCCTACCACATGTATTTTGATGTGTTCTTTTCTATTTCATTCTCTTCCATGTTATTTTACTTTTAAAAAGTATGGTCTGACTATATTAAATTTTTTGCATAACCCCTTAATGTGTCAAGTATCATATCGGGTGCAAATGCCTGGCTTTTGACATGCTGTAGTGTTACTAAAAAAAAAAAAGCAAATTCTCTATCTTAAGATAAAGAGCATGTACCCTAACTCTCTTGCCCTGAGACAATAAATCTCTTGGTTAGGTCTGGAGGAGAGATAATTGTTAAAGATGTATTTTGAGTGACATACTTCTTTACCTATTTTGTATCCCATTTTTTTCCATTCAGTATAGAATGACATCTTGCCATGGCAGTAAGTGATCATCTTCAACAACAGTTTTAATGATTGAC